TTGGAGGTTAGTTTCGACTAAAGTTTATGTTAACCAAAAAGTTTCAACGTGTTTATTCACATAAAAATGTGTTACAAAGCATTAACGATAGTGAAGTGGCAATTCAAAATCCAATAATTACCGCAATATTTTTCTGACCTCAGTAGATAGTTGTTTGTCATTTATCGCAGTTGGTGTTTGACAGTTATTGATGTGGTAGCAACGGAGAGAATTCAAGCAATTAGCATCCTTACAGTCCGATGAATTTGATGAAATGTTGACAATGGTGACAATAACATCAATGATGCATCAAAAAACATAATGACATATCGCTTTAATGCCTTCCACTTTACTGCTTTCATTCAATTGTGTGAAGTTGAAAATACAAGTATAATTAACCTAAGATCGAAACTATTGTCGCCATGCCGAAAAATTCACAGCTATCCATTGTATGAGATTCTATCAGATGTAACATTAAGATTCTGTCACAGATATATACAAAAAAGTATATATTTTCACGTATTCTAAATTAATTGGAATGTGAAGTTATTCTATGGCATTGATATCTTCATGATCAGTTTTCAAATTGAGTCCAAAATGCAGTAATTTAGTAAATGCAATGATAGATAAAGTGCATTTATTACCAAATGCATATAGAAAAACTAATTGCAAACACAAATGTCATAACAGCCGTTTTTCAGATGTGAAAAAGTATGACTGTCCACATGTTGACTGTAATGCGACCATGTATGGCAAAGGGGAATATGATAAACATTTCTAAACGCAAGATAAACCATTTCATTATCAATGCAAGCATCACGATTGTGGGAAAGAATTCCATTATCAACCATCATTTTCCAAGCACAAAAAATTCTGTCAATACAATCTTCAGAGTAAAAAGTTCCTCAATTTTTTGGAATCACTGAAAAGACAATAAATATTCCCGTAAAGCTTCTCAGTTTTGCAAATTCAGCAGGGTTTTTAGCATTTATTTATATCCTTCAAATGAAATCCCGTGAAAATACAGTAGATGGGGAAATGTTAGCGGACAAATATGGGGAACAAGTAGTAAAGAATTATATAATGACATACCATTTTAATCCCTTCAGTTTATCCTCTACTCAATTGCATTAGGTTGGAAATATATGCTACAAAGAATCCCAAATTCGAAGCTGATCTCATTCAGAATTACCTCTCATCTGACATTCTCCCATCACAAGCAACACTGAGAATGAGCTTTTTGCTTTGAAAAAACATATAGCAAAGAAGTGATCAGCATTTCCTAATTTAGGTTAATCAAAATGTGATTTGATAATTTTAATCAATGGTGCTGATACAATTATCTTTCAAATTGTATTCATTGAATTACTATATAAAGTGGTATGTGTAAACAATATCAGTGTCGGAAAACCCGTGAGAATTTATCATACATTAAATGCTTGGAACATTTCTAATGATTCATCACTGCATTATTCACCAAATCACATTCCTCAAAATTATCTCCCATACGTTTCTTTGTTATCTTTGTCTAACGGAAATACACATTTTTACCGTTTCCTTTGTATCTCAAGGAATACCCTCTAACGTTTTATGTAAACCACTCCAACTTCTTTATATATATATCCCTTTTTTGTATAAAGGTTTGGTCTGGACTAGTGCTCTTCTATAGTATTCTTATAACAGCTTTTGACTCACGGGCAAGCGGTTTCT